ACTCTTTTAATTATAAAAACTTTGATAAAAATCTATTTTCCGTAGCTTATAAAGATAAGATAAGCTAAAATAAAAAATCTTCAAAACATATAACAAATAAAAGAGAGGAAAGAGGTTATTAGTTGCCGAATAAATATTATATTATGCATTCAATTGACAACTTATTATGAAAACAACAATGAATGCGTCCATGTAGCCTATTCATCAACCGATTCAAACTGCGGTGATTGAACCGAAAAACCGATAACCGAATAAACCGAAAATCGAAAAACCGAAAACCGATGAAAAACCACAAATTTTAATTGGATTAGATCGGTTTTTGCTATTTATCAAAAAAAAAAAAGATCGGTTTTTGGATGGGTTGATGAAAATCGATCCAATCCAAACCGATCCAATATATTAATTCCTCTCTACCTACTTGGGTCTTTTCCTAATCATAGCCTAAAAATTTCTAAACCCAAGACCTATTAACCATCAACTAAATCCAAGAAAAAATCTAGTCACATCTCATCAAAAAAACTTTATCTTTGTAGAGCTTCATATTTTATTGCAAAATAAAAAGACTATATTATAGTTTATTAATGCTTTTGTATTTCAAAATAAATAAATTTACAAAGCCAATATATACAAAAGATGTTATTTGCACAATAATCATGAAATAAATTTTAGAATTTTCAAAAAACCGAAAACTGATCCAATCCAAACCGAAAAAAATTTGATCGGATCACATCGGATTTGAAAATAAATCAAAATCGAATGGATAATTATATGATCAAACCGAAGGGATGATTATATGATCAAACTGAAGGGATTGGATCGGATGATTTTTGCTTCCAAAACCAATCTAATCCATACCGCGAACACCCCTACATGCAGCCAGCTAACTTTATAATATTTTCTGTATGACGAGCAGTTTTTTTTGGGTTATATAAGAATAAGGAAATCATTCTTATTCTTAGGTTGATGCAAAAAAAATTTTATCTTATTATAATTATATATTTCAGAGATTATATAATTATAATATTAAAACTATTTTTTTTCTTAGAAATTGTTTGCTGACGTGAAAAGAGAGAAAAAAATTAATTTTAATATTATAACTATGTATTCTTAAGACTACATTGTTATATGTTACGTAAGATAATTTTGTTTACAATAACATAAGAAAAAATGGACTCTAAGAATAATGTTGCAAGAAAAGAAGACATTTTCCTGCAGTAAAACATGAGATCCACCAATTTTTTTGTTTCTCTCTTCTGATTTCACTTTCTCACCCCTCATTATTGTACCCGCAGAAAAAAAAAATTCCCGCAACATAAGAAATATATAAACCCCTCATATTATATACATTCATTTCACTATTCAGTTTTACGAGCAAGATTTCTTCCATATATGAGTGGAAAGAGAATAGATGTTTAGAATAAGGCGAAATAGCCTCTCACCCAACAGGAAATTGAAGTTCTCCTGCCATAAATTGTTAGGTGAAGAGATTAGCATATGCATAAGCGGAGGCAGGGGTGCTAGGGTGGGCGCCCCTCTAGTCCTCCACCCACTAAAGAATAAAGAAGAAAAAAGATCAAACAAGATCGCTACCAATAGTTGTTGAAAACCACCACTTTTTAAAGCTCCATCTAATTTCTGAAAGTGAAGGTACACACACCCCATTGAATACCCCTCGTTGTAGAGGTTATTGTGGGGGAGCTTTTTAGAGTTGAGATGATGAACTTCAGCGAGAGTGTTATTATTCATAATTACATTGCCGATAACATCGAGCACTCTGATCTCTCAATTGCGAGTGCTTAATTATTATTGTGTTTAAATGATTACGGTAATTTTTGCTCAGCCACACATATGTGGTGCATTTCTCTTGTGTGTTGCAGCATCAAACCATGGAGAAGAATTTTGATGCTCCAATAGCACCGTTGACTCAGTGGTCCAGACCAATCAAAATCGGGAAAGAGGAGAGAGAAAAATTATTTTTTTATCAAGTGTTAGCCCTTAATGAAAGGAGCACATAGGTTTAGAGCACTAAATTTTTTCCCCAAACCGTAACCTGTCCACGAGATGTGAAAAATAAGTAGAAAATCCATAAAAATAAAATTTGAAGAAAAAAATTCTTGATGGTGGGCGTCCAATGATATGCATTAGAGGCTCCTAAAGTACCGCAATTTACTTAGGCATATCTTCTATATATTTACTTCCAGTGGCGGAGCCACGTGCTACCCGAGTGTGGTCTCGGTCCGGGCTAAATTTTTACAAATTGTAGTTATCATGTATACTTATATAATTAATTATAATTTGGCCCAGTCTAAAATTATAATTTGGCCCGAGCTAAAATTTGTAATTTTGCCCTATCAAAAAATTAAATATATTTGGTAAGAGATTTGAATAAGTTGTATTAAGTTATGTGTTACATTTTTATTTATATAATAAAATTAAAAAATATTTAATAAATTTATAATTTTTTTTATGCTTCCTGCTCAAGTGTTTTGTATTTAATATAATTTAAATAAATTATGATATGAATTAACTAAAATTAAGAAAAATAAATACACATATAATTTTTTGATCCGAGCTCCGTTTGGAGCCTGGCTCCGCCACTATTTACTTCGGCATATCTTCTTCTTTGCATTGATCCAATAGCAGGATCACCCAATTTACTTTGATAATAAAGTCCTAACCCAATTTACTTCGGTTTGTTCATTTGATTTTCCGCCCCTTGGAAAAAAAAATCCTGGTTCCGCCATGGTGGATAAGCTGGAGAGTTCTACTGGTATACATAGGAGATCAATGGCATTAGAAGATTTTGTCACATAGGTTAATGAGTTAGTGGTTGGCATGTGTAAGCACGTGAACAGTTATGTTAGTTACTCAACACATGAGTAGTTACAGGAATTGCTTAGTAGAGTTGTATTAAGAAACTGATGTATAAAGGAGAGAAGAAAGTAACGTGTTTTGATCACCTTCATAATCTGAAGTTCATTCTCTTTTCTTATCTCTCTTAGGGTCAATATCGTAACATAAATCCATTCATTTCGTGAGTCACACCATCTTTAAAAAAAACTTAAAAGAAATGATGTGCCAACCACTGGAGAAAATCATCTCCCTCGTAATAATAATCAAATAACGTTGCAGAGCCTTCTCCGACATATTTAATCAATTCATAATCAAGAGACTTATTAGAGGTGGGAACGTGTAAAACGAATTTATTCGTCCTGTAGCACCGTCATTCCCAACCTCCTTACTTTTTTATTTAGAGTAAGCGTCATTTTCGGTTCTCAATAAATTTTACTATGCCCACTTTAATTCCTAGCAAATAAAAAGGTTATTTGTGGTCCCTAACAAATTCAGAGTGAATCTATTTTATTCTTTTGAGAGACTAATATAGGTTTTTTTTAAATTTGTGAGGGACCACGATTTCAATTAAATGAGTCCATTTTGAATTTTATTAAGGACTACGAATAGCTTTTTTATTTACTAGGGATTAAAGCGGGTATCGTGAAATTTGCTGAAGACTAAAAAGAATATTTACTCTTTTTATTATTTTTTTGATGTTTTTTCAATGTCATACAAGGAAAAAGACGTCTTGTTCCAACTAAATAACACCTATATCTTAAAAGTACCATTTGATAGGCAGGCATGTTAGAAGAGAATAAAACATATAAATAGATTCTATTCTTATCCGGTGCATTTTAAAAATAAGCGAAACATGATATAAAGTAAAGAAAAAGAAAAAGTAGTATATTCATCGCAGCAATGCTTAAGAAACAAGAGTTAAACATGTTTGTGAGACAACAGGGCCTACATATGTTTTTCCCATTCTTGGTTGAACCCATTCTGCTTCTATTAAGATCATCAAATCTTCAACCCATTCTGCATCAACGTGATTTGAGGCCAGTTGGATGGAGGAGAAATGCAATGACTTATTTAATTTACCCCAAATTGAAAAACCGTTTAAATTAAAAAATATATATTTAAAATATTATAATAATTATATAAAATTTGGAAAAGGCTAAAACCTACACACACACAAAAAAAACGATTTAATACTTTTTTAAAAGTTACAAAAAATAACTTCTAAAAAAATACTTTTATTTTATTTTATTTTTTATCATAAAAGCACTTTATTTCAAATCCGAAACAAGCGCACCTTGGACTGTTACTTGTGAAGCAGAAGATCCACAACGAACAAGCAAATGTAACAATTTTTTGAGTTTAGATTACAGCATTAATAAAATTAATCAATCCCATCAAGTAAGATGAAAAGTAAATTAAGTTTGATATCATATCAGAAACCATATTAGAACCTAAATGAGTGAAGTGCAATTTATACTTTATAAAAATCTAAATCATTATTAACAAAAATTAAAGCAATTTTTCATCAACAATTATGTACTGCATATTATTATTTAGAAAGGAAAAAAAAAACTTAATTTCCCAAAAAGTAAAAAACGCCTTACACACTAAACTAGTTTTTTGGTCGCAACAGAAAAACAAACATAATTCTTTTAATTTGTGCAAATAGCATCTGCAAATGCGTGAAATAACTTACACGAATAACCATTTATTTTAGTTCTTTAAAGACTGAATTAACATCACTTTAATCCCTAAATGACAGATGACATTAATTTACGCCAACAATCATGCCTCTGCACAAACTGTACGATTAATTAAGAAACTAAATGTCAGCTTTCTATAATTGAGAGATTGAACTGATGTTACTCTCTAATATTTAGGGAGTAAATCAATGTTAAATTCTTTAGAAGACCAAATTAAGGATTTAATGTTTCTACAATGATTGTAAATAAGTTATCTGCATTCACTCTCAAAACGACGTCGTTTTGGTTTGAAAAATTAAAAAAATATAATGAAATAGACTATTATAACCCTGAAATAAATTATAATTACAAAGAATATCTTAATTTCTGTCCTAAAACGACGTCATTTTGCTCAATATAGATAAGTTATTTACATTGACCGCAGAAAAAACAAACCCTAAATTAATATCAACTCAATCTTTTTAAAAGTAAAATGATAGTTTACTTAGCGGACACTTCAAAACAAGAGAGAAAGAAGGCATTGGCTTAGAGGCAACAATAGCAGTGTCTAAACACTTCACTGTTCTCCTAAACTATGAACATATGCAACACCACAATAAATACCGATGTCTCAGCACAATATTACAATAAAATAAAGATGATGTTGCCATATCATGGTGTGATCCAGTAAAATGCGAGTCGTAAACAAACTCAGCTAAAGACACATTTTTCTGACAAACTTCCAGTTTCAACGCTATTGACCACAAAAAAAATCATTGAAAGTCAACCTGTCAGGCCTTGAACAGCATCCACAAAGTGATCACATGATGGTGCAGCGGCTCTTTTCTTCAGTTGGCTGTGAGTTTACTTGCTGGAACCTGTGTGACTCGGATGGGTTGTATGTAAATTCCGAAGTATCAAGCCCATACTGAATAAGGAGAAGTATTAGTATCAGACAGTACAAAACACATCAATGCCATAATCATCTAACAAAACAATAATAATGTGCTTTTTATTCCAAACCTTCCTAATACAATGATCAAAGATAGTTAAAAACAAGAGGACTAAGGGCTCATTTGGATGGGCCTTTTTTTTTTCAAATTTTTCTTGAAAATAAGCACTTCTCATTTTTAGTTCGTTTGGATGTCTACTTTTAAAAAAAAAGCAGAAGTCACAAAAAAAGTCAAAAACCTATTTTTTTCAAAAGCTAAAAATTTTAACTTCTACAAAAAGCAGAAGTCAAAAGCCAAATATTTTTATAAAAATATAAATAGCTTTAACTTTTGTAAAAAGTACTTTTAAAATAAGGAAGAGATAAAAGTTACTTTTTTTAGAAGGTGAAACAAACGGGCTCAATTGAATAATAAATCGATACTATAGATCGCTAAGTATCAGAGTTGAATGAAAAATGTCTTCCATAAAAAGGATATCCTGCTTTGCACTTTGTGTGACATCGGAAAAACATTTAAGATATAATTCAGGTTTAGCCATTCATTTAAGACATGAATTCAACACAATGATCTAGATTGAGAACTTCATAAACTCTCACACGAAATTCCGTAAACAATGCCTATTTCAATGATGCAATATTCTTCCGAAACGGCAATAATAATATAATCAGGAAACTCATCAAAACGCTCAACAAATTCATAGACTGGAACAAACTACTATTGTGAAAAATAAGTATATGGTTTGAACAGTAGTAAAAATCTAAACATCCTGTGTAAAGATCATAAATTGGTTCTCAATGGCAACTGTATAAGCAGAGCAAAGACAGGAAACCAACTCTGGAAGCCAAAAGTCAAAGCCAATATATACATATGTGTGCGATTATATATTTTTGTGTGGGAAAATGTTTGGTAACCATAAGGCATCAAACCCTGGATTGCACCAGACACTCACACAAGTATGGTCTATCCAGTGCAATCCGGGAGCACTCGTATGTACACATACCTGTTAAGACAAACATATGAAAAATCTGCATAGCAAGAATATTACATAAAGTGAACTGAAGAGAAAAAGATTGCACCTTCTCCCTCATCCGTGTACTCCATGCATCATTTCTTCCTGGACGCTGGTCAATTGTCCCAGCAACTGGTAACCCAGTTGCTGGGCCTGCTGGTCTGTTGAGCAGTGGCTGACGGACATGCTGCCTTGGATTAATCAAGTCTTCATCACTATCGTAATCTGTTGGCCTATTGGCGGCCCTAACAATGACGGCTAACAAGAAAAGAAGGGCCTGCAATTCCATACACATTTCTTAGACAATAGATGATAAGAATTCCAATAAATTTTACGTTCAACAAACATAATGGGCACGTTACATCGTATTAATGTATAAAGCCTTCATTACTATACGCCCATCCCCTCTTCTCGTTGTAGGTAAGTGGGGTAGGAGAAGAAATTTTTAATCAGTACTCGAGTACATTTGAGAACTAGCGGAAATAATGTATCATACCAACAGATAAGGTGAGGCTTCTAACAGGAAAATTGTTTCCAAAATTCCAGCATTTCAAAGTTGATTATTACTGAATTAGCATATTTTGACCTTCTGGGTTCTCTGTTTCCTCTCCCTTCGTCTCTTCCAGCTTTCTCTTTCTTCCTTAACATTAATTGGTATCAAAACTACCATTTTTATTTTGTCAAGAATTAAGTCCCCGGGTCAATAAAGAGATATTATTAAAAAGCTGGCTACTGGGCTAGAGCTTATGGGGGGGCACCAAAATGGTTTCATTTAGATGACTGATGAGTGACTCCCATGAAATTATTAGCTGGATGGTGGCAAAAATCAATCCATTTTCCTTCTTCCTGGTCTCTCAGATGTTTCTATCAACAAAAAACCAGTTCTCCTCATCAAGAGTTCAAGCATTCTCAATCTGTTATTGGTCCAATCAAAAATAAATCCTTTGTAAAATTGATAGCTTGGTTATAGTCTTAGCACCCATTTTCTGTGGGTGCATGCACAAAGACACATGCATGTCAGCAAAACAATATTGATTTCTTTTAAACACCAATCATACCGCTTCTTGCTTACCTCAAAGATAACAATTCCAAGTGCAACCCATCTCACAATATTCCAATTCTCTCTAAGAAATCCATATATCATATCAAAATCTCCAGTTTTGTCTGATGGAATTTCCTGAATAAAATATAACTGTAAGATGACAAACATATCTTCTTTAATTTCAGATCTTAAATTACCAGAAAATTTTACTTACTTCTTTCCAGCTTTTGTCAAAGAATATAAAGGCAGCACATCCAAGCTCTACCAAGATCAATAATAACACCAAAATTGAATACTTTGTTGACTTAAGGAAAGTAAAAATAATTCCTTTGAGGTTAATGCTTGTATATATGCTCAAACAGCTGCACATACACAGAGGGAGAGTGGAAGAGAAGATTCAACTCATGTTTCAATATTAGTGGAAATTTATGAGACCATGAAATATTTTGGCCATGGCAAAGACATTCTATAAGGATACACAGCTCAGGCAGCATCCATTTCGCGTCACAGCTCCAATACAACCAAAACAAGATATAACAAAGAGAACAACTCCAATACCAATAAATAAGTAAATAAACCTGCCAAACATGAAATACACAATTAGAGTCAGACAGCACTAAGACAATATTGGTTGGTTTTTGTCAACTTCATCCAAAAGTAACAATATGCGTTTAAAAATAATTGCATCGGGGTGAATGGAAGGCAATGCGTACCGTGAGTGAAAAAAGTGTCAATTTATGGTAAAAACGAAAAATATCAGTCATGAATGAACAAAAAATAAAGTGATAGGATCACAATTCACAAAGATCCAACAATTTACAATTAAAAAAAATAAGGACAAATACTACATCAGGTATTTTATCTGTGATTGCCTTCCTCGCACACAAATACATATAGTAGTAGTCTGTACGTCTAATAAATGCTACATGTAGAAGAAACAAAGGTTAATTCAAATTCACATTTTGTGTATGTATAAAGCAAGTTTCTTAAAAGTTTCTTTAATTCTTTTCTTAATCAATGGCAAGAATAATCAATAACGCACCAATAACACCAAATAATGAAGCAAGATTAGCCCTAATTTTACCTTCTGAAGCTCCAATTATTACAAGACCACAAATCCACAGTCTATTGGCCAGGCATTCCAAAAGTTTCACCTTGTAGCTCTCACTGAAGGCGACCAAAACCAAATAGAATGGTATGGCAGTAAACACCATAACATATATACCATGCCCCAGAAGTTAATTGAGAGGTTAATTCCTAAGACCTAGGTATCTCTGGCATAAAGTCCCCATTGCATTTTACTCATAATTTTGCAGCAGCAAGTTAGAATGTTCTTTTATATATATATATAGGGAAATCTACTTCTTATGTTGCTGCAAAAAAAATCTTCTTCTGCCACTGATTATAACTATGTACTCCGCGAAGTACATAGTTATAATATTAAAACTTTTTTTTTTCTCTCTTAAGAAGTTATTGGCTGACATGGAGAGAGAGAAAAAACAATTTTCATATTGTAACTATGTACTCCCCGAAGTACATAGTTATAATCAATGGCAGAAGAAGATTTTTTTTGCAGCAACAGGAGAAAAAAGGGACTCATATATATATATATATATAAGGACAGGTTATATTTACAAACTTTTTTGTTTACAAACTACACTATGTAGGACCGGTCCTACATTAATCACACAGTGTACGACCGATCCTACATTAGTGTAATTGCAAAAAAAGTTTGTAAACGGATCCTGTCCCATATATATATATATATATAGACACTCACACACGTAAACCTTAACTACGGTACTTTTCTTATCTAATACTGATTATTACATACATGGTTACGAGTCATCACAGAAAATTTACCCCCAAGTGGTAAAAAAAGCATTGTCAGCATAAATATAACCTGGGACCAAACTAGATAACACAAAGCAAACTGATGCAGCAATAAAACCAAAAATAAAACCTTTTGAAAGCCAACGATACACATAACTCGATCAATATGCCCCAAAAATGGCAGGAAAAGAGCAGCATGCATACCAAGCCTTAGGCAACTCATCAAAAATGTTGTCGGATAGAGGCACAGCCATAAGCATGGGTCGGCCAAGTTGAATTAGAGCAAGGTCGTCATCACTGGCAGGAGAAATTGCGGGAGTGTCATCATCAGAAGCTTTTAAGAATCCAACCAGCAGATAGATCCCATAGCCCACCATAGCCAGACCAGTAAGGCTCAGTATGAAGTTCAAAAGCTTCAAAAGGCAGTCCCAGCACCCCCTACATGCCATCTCTACCTATAATGGTGTATAATCCCTTAACCAGAATTCAAAAGGGATGTCAATGCCCTATATATATTTTCTGCAGAAACAGGCATTTCCCTAAACTATCAGATCAGTAATAAATAGAAATTATCACAGCAACAATAAAACCTCCAATTCAATATCAACTTTAAGAGATATGCTGCTATCTTCAACTTGTGTTCCTTTTAGTTTACACTTTACTGTATCAAAAGGATGGAAATTAATAATAACTAATAAATAATAAATTAATCGTTTGATTTGGACAATGAATTAAGAAAAGCATTTGGAACATTTCTAAGTAAGTTCAACTATGCTGCCATATTCAATTCCCTAATCTTATTTTGGTCAATCTTTCTCCTCAGAAGAGAAGAAGTTCGTAATTTGAAAACAAGAATTCTATGAATAACAAATAAAAATTTATATCTTCAACTAGCTCAGAAAAATTGTAGAGGAAATTTCGCCAATTCATTAAACAAAAAAGAAATAAATAAAATGAATAATTAAAATATTGAGGAGAGGTGGATGGAACTAAGCTGCAAGAACTTACAGAAGGAAGGAATCGACGATTTCTCGAGATATGAATTTGCGAATTCCCAACACAAAATTGGAATCAGCCACAGAGCACAGGAGAGATAAGAGAGAATCGCAGAGAAAGTTCGATACGTGCCACTCTGGCATTTGTTAGGGCAACCACTTAAGATGTGATAAACGAGTCAGAGGCCTTTCAGTAGAGGTGGCAAAACGGATCGGCCCGTCCCGACTCGTCGCCAACCCGCCAAAAGTGAGTTGGCTCACCCCGTCCCGCCTCTTGAATTTGTATTGAAAATCCCAACCATCTCCGTTTTATGGTGGGTTGGCGGGTGAACCCGCTTAAAAAATAAAAAATAAATTATATTTTATTAATATTATAATATTACTTATTTTCATATTACATTCCCCTTAGTTTTTTTCAATCTTAAGTCTAAATGTTTGTTAATATTTAGTCACATATTCTTTAAAAAGTTATTTTTATCTCCATACATCAATTACTTTTGTTATAAATAAAGTTTTTCTTCTATATTTTTTCTAGAGAGTACTAAGATAACAAAAAATTGGATAACCCCAAAAGCTTAAACACAAATAAAACACTACCTAATAGTAAAAAAAAATAAAAAAAATTGACATGGCGGGCCAACCCGTCCCGACCCGCCGCCAACCCGTTTTGACCCACAACCCAACGGGACAGGTTGAGTCGGGTTGGTGGGTTAAAATATGTAACCCAACTCGCCCCGTTTTGACGGGTTGACCCGTCGGGTTCAACCCATATTGCCACCCCTACTTTCAGGGGCCTTTGGCTCAACTCGTGAAGACCTGAGCTTACGTGTCTAATATTGGTTGTTGGAACTAGACTTGGACGTGTATAAAAACTCGTTTAGTAGAAAGGCCTCAGACTCAAACTCAAAAGCTCGGCTGGGAGCCTCTCAGGCTGGCCTAGTATATTAATTTTTATTTTTATTTATATTTTTTATGTTATTTGTAATAGCTCTCTCTCTTCAATCCATTTCACCCCTATTTTATTAGTTAAACAGACTTTTTGATTGATTTTGTTCTATATTATGCTATTTGGATATACATTGAATTTATGAATATTTATGGAATTACTAGTGTTGTTGATTGTATATCTTGTTTGGATAAGTTTTTGTTGTCTTATTTTTTTAAACAGATTAAATCAGACTTTTATTTTTTGTAAATAAGGCAGGTCACATGCCGATAATTAGGGGTGTAAATGGGCTGGGCTGGGCTTTGACCTTCTTGGCCAAAGCCTACGTAAAAAAATATTCAGCTTATCTGGCATACTAAAGACTTTATTTATAGGCCAAGCCTGTCCTATTTTTACAAATTAGAGAGCCTGATATGGCCTACAGGCCTTGTAGGCCTCCCTCGTGATATATTTTAAAAAAAAGAGTAAATACCCTTTTTAGTCTCTGGAAATATCCACGAAGCCCTTTTCAGTCCCTAGCAATAAAAAAGGGACAAATTGGTCCATGAAATAACAAAAAAGAGGTCACGTTCATCCTTCCGTTAACTCCCACCTAACGGCCCAACTAACGGTGCACAGTTGGCACGTTAGTTTGCTGACGCGGCTTGGATGTGGGACACCATGGAAGACGAGACGATGACGTTTTGGTCCCTGTCAAAATGCACGAGGACGTTTTTAGTCCCTGACAAAAAGCACGGGGCCCTTATTGGTCCCTAACCAAAGAAAAATAGGCACATGACTTCATTGCTTTTCTATGCAGTTCAATTTTGCAAAACAGAAGTGCATTACATCAGAAACATGAGTGCAATCCATTTGTTCATCACAAAGTAATTAAACTAAATTTCATCACAAAGTAAAATACTCCTTCTTGACATTTTATTTCAATGAAGTTTGTGTTTCTAACTGAAGTTTCGACCTTATTAACGATTATTCATTTCTTTTTCAATGCTAATTAAGCTTCCCACTTTGTTAAAAGGGATTCTTGACTCTTGCAAACAGCTTTTACGATCCCTAGAATACTATGTACTGTTTTAATTCTCTTAGTCTGTATAAAACATAGCGTTATGCGATTTACGAACAATATCTTCAGTAGTGTAGCATTACAATTATACTATTTATTTTTCTATAAAAGATAATTGCATGATTGTTGATATTTAAATACAGAGAAAAATCAGAGAAGAAGCCAGGCAAATTATTGTTGATAATTGCAATGCATGGCAGTTGACTGGACTGCAGCAGTTGGTAGTTCTCAGCCACATGAAGGCAACTTGAGAGGAAGCAGCCCACCTCCATCAAATCCACAACAGGCAAATGAGTTGTTGAGTAATGAAACAATGAATTGCAGCAACTAGTGGCACACGAAGCAAATTATTGGCCTTCATGAGCACACCTGGTTTTAGGCCACCAAGGCCTGCCTCAAGAAAATGACCTGCTGTTGTATATGACCTGGGAGTAGTGCATGAGCCAACTGAGAAATGTTTACTATTATGTGATTGACTTTTTTTGAAAATTTTGGCCATTATGTATTTGGAGGCCTTATTATGTCAATGTTTTTTTTATAAATTCTGGCCATATTGTATTAGAGGCCTTTCTTTTAATTCCTGGCACTTGACTTTATTTTGTAATGCACTACTGTACATCCATGTCTTCAAATATAATGATACTAAAATCATGTTCCAGTTATTATGTTTCACAGGGTTGATGAATGTTTAAGTTTACCATTTTTGATGTTTTTTAATTAATATACGTAGTTGTAGTTCTTGTACATCCATGTCTTCTGGTTTAACAAATTGGACTGCATACAAATCCAATTTAATGTCATGTTCCTGTTTTGCAAAATTGGATTGCACTCCTGTTTCTGATGTAATGCACTTCTGTTTTGCAAAATTGGACTGCATATAAAAGCAATGAAGTCATGTGCCTATTTTTCTCTGGTTAGGGACCAATAAGGGCCCCGTGCTTTTTGTCAGGGACTAAAAACGTCCTCGTGCATTTTGACAGGGACCAAAATGACTCTCGTGGTTTTGACAGGGACCAAAACGTCATCGTCTCGTCTTCCACTGTGTCCCACGTCCAAGCCGCGTCAGCAAACTAACGTGCCAACTGTGCACCGTTAGTTGGGCCGTTAGGTGGGAGTTAACGGAAGGATGAACGTAGCCTCTTTTTTGTTATTTCAGGGACCAATTTGTCCTTTTTTTATTGCCAGGGGCTTCGAGGATATTGCCAGGGGCTGAAAAGGGCTTCGTGGATATTGCCAGGAGCTAAAAAGGGTATTTACTCTAAAAAAATTTAAAATTTTTTTTAACAATTTTTAAAATATTCGCTTGACATTACAAGTCATTAACGTGTTCATAAATTGCTGCATTTTTTTACACGATAGATAAATTTCACTAGTGAGCAATAAAAATTTTACACTAGTAAAAAAAATATACTGAGCAAAGTTTCATCCATGCATGCACTAGTACTTCTCACAAGAAATAAAAAATGACAAATAAGAAAGTGTCAACATAATACCCCAGCTCTATAATGTATATCAGAGAGGAATAAAGTCAAAGAAATGGGGAAATAAAAAAATACAATTACTAGGTTAACCAAAGCTGAAATAAAGTCTACAAGAGAATATCATTCATTGAAATATCTTTAAACCACCATCAAGACAGTGGTTGGTACTAATTGCCACCTAAAATAAATATATTATTTTATTTTTAAAAATTAAATAGGCCAGCCTACAAGGCTTTAAGCCAGGCTTGACAAAATTGGCCTACGGCCTATTTGTTAAAAAGACTTTCTTATAAGCCTAAGCCTACTCTACCTTTCAATGTAAGCTGGGCTAGGCCAGGCTCAATGTAGGTCGGGCTGTAGGCTAGGCCAAGCCAGCCTGGCCCATTTACACCCCTACCGATAATTATATTCATAATAGGTAACAAGCTTGGTAAGACTGACACATTTAAACACAGACTTAGCCTTTTAAAACCAAAGCTCGGTTCAGCTCGGCCCGTTAACACCCCTAGACTCGCCCCACACTTTAAACAAAGCCTTTTGAATTATGGATGTACGTAAATTATTTTATTTTGTGTTTCAAGAAATTAATAATTAAATGTTTATATATGGAGTTTTTGAAAAAAATATATATATTATTTTTTATAAAACTATAAAAAAAATCACGCAATAATAACAATTAGGGGTGTGTCACGTGTGAAAACTTGGATGTGCATGGCAACCATTTTGTTCCCTGATACTGTTTCTGAAAAGAAATAATTCTTTTCTATTTCTGTCTCTTGGAACAATTTTTGAGAAAAAATATATATATATATTTGATAACATGTTTTATTTTTATTCTGAGAACGAGAATTGTGTTTGATAACACAACAAATAATAGAATAAAAAATCATTCCTATTAAGCATAATTTTTTTTTGAATCATCACTTTCCTTTTCATATGGTGTGGTGGTGGTGGCGGCGACGATGACAGTGGTGATTGTAGTAGTGGCATTATGGTGGTGGTGGTGGAGGTGATGGCATGATGGTGGTGGCAGTGGCAGCGAAGGTAGTGGTGGTGGTGGTGACAGTAGTGTCTACGATGATGGTAATGAAGATGACATGGTGGCGGTGGTGTAGTGGTGGCGGTGACGGCGAAGGTAGTGGTGGTGGTGACAGTAGATTCTACAACGATGATGATGGAGATGACATGGTGACGGTGGTGTAGTGGTGGCGGTGACGACAGCGGTAGTAGTGCTGGCGTGGTGGTGGTGGTGACAGTGGATATGATGGTGGTGGTGGTTGGTGACGGTGGTAGTGATAATGGAGGTGACGGTGATGATTGTGGTGGTGGTGGTGGTGACGTGCAGGTGGTGGTGGTGATACGACGACGGTAGCGGTTGTCGTGTCATGAGGTGGTGGTGATGGTAGTGGTGGAGAGTAATTGAGAGATAAATGTTTCTCATTTTGTGCGAACAAAAAAACAGAAAATTTTTTATTCTTTTTTCTGTTTCCCAGCACAAAAAATAAACCGTTTCATCCCGGGAACAAAAAAAGTAAATTGATTTTACCAAACGAGTTTTCTATCCATTTTTGTTCCCGTGAGCAAAAAAAAAAATTGATTCCTGAAAGGTTATCTTGCACTCCCTTGAAAAATGCAAAATAGTGCACCAGATTGTAAGGTATATTCTGTTCGTAGTGTGTGAGTAAGAGTTTATTTAGATATTTTTTTAAGTTAAAGTCAAAAAAATAGCTTAAAAAAATTAAAACTATTTGGTAATTAATATAATTATATAAAAATTTTAGTTTAAAAGTTACTTAAAAATTGTTCATTAAAAAAAAACACATATTTCAAGAAAGCTAATAAAAATTTAAAAAAAGTTACTCACAGGAGCTTTTATTTTTTTTTATTTTAAAAAAAAAGTTTTTTTATTATAAGAACTTTTATAAAAACTTATTTGCTATAACTTCTGCTTATAAGAAGAAAAGAAGGAAAAAAATGTGTATCATTTTGAAGGATGTAAAGTTGTGTCATTTTAAGTGAGAGAAAGAGATAGATAAAGGAGGAGAGAGTGTGAACAAAAAAATATAAAAGTGTGGGTCCCACCTCTTTGTGAGAGTGAAAGGATATAAGTTGTGTCATCTAAAAAGACAAACATTTTTCCCAGAATTAAAAAAAAATCCAAATAAGCACCAAATGTCTTCCAATACATTATAATAGCTATTTTATACAGACAAAATGGCAATTGAGAGAGTGAATGGAGATCAGAGCTAAAATTCCACATGTACTGTTTATGAATGATTATGATACTGAAGGAAAGAAAGAACATGGAGAGAAACCACCATGACGGACAAGCAAAATTAGGCGGGATCTGAGCATGGGCTTGGCAAAACTCGCCTCCTGATCCCGTGCTATGATCCTTAGTTCTTGAAAAGCATTGTGTGGAACCATGTCGGAACAATACTAAAGATGCACTTGCACTTATTTTATCATTTAATTATATATTTGCCTTTCCACATGGAAGTATCAAACAATAACAATGGCTAAATTTGGTATTAATCATTTAAAGCTTGTTCACATCTTGTCAAACGCAAAATGATGTTTGACACACAAATCCCCAACGAGTTAAATGTAAGGGAGTAGTTGTTTGCAACGAATGGAAGTTAAAACAAACAAATACTAAATCTTTTTCAATTTTTTGGGATGCTAACTAGTTATGACGCTTTATCGTAGCAATGTAATTGTTGTACACTTGTACCTCCTGAAGAGATAGAAAATGCAGCAAAAGATGTTGAAGGCAAACTTTAACCCATTTACTCTCAATTCCATCACTTTAAGCTACATAAAAACATCAAAGTTATTTTGTAGTACCCTTTATATCAACCAATTTAACTACTAAAATCAAAACATTTATAGTCCTATCTTTTTTCATTTCTTTCTGTGTTTCTCACCCACATAAACACGCATACAACCCCAATATATAATGATTGATGATGCAAATATGTTGATATGGATTTATAGTTCTGTTCTATGGCATGTTGTCACTTTTCCAACGATCAGACCATAGTGTTATAAAACCTATAAGGCTTGGCTTTTTGACCCTTTTGCCCCTCATTAATTAATTAATAACCAATTTGCCTCTCCCCCAGAACTATCCACCATCCTGCCCCCATTTAGTCGATCAAGTTGCACTTTTAATCGATTAAATGGGCAAAATTCAGAAATCAAGAAACACGAATTTTAGTCGACTAAATATTCACCTTGATCGACTACATGTCGAGCACATTTAGTCGACTAAGGCCATTATTTAGTCGACTAAATATCGCAGAAAACCCTATATCCAGACCTCTCTCGGTCTCATTTGCAATATTTTCGAAATCAAAACCCTTCTTTATCTTGTTTGTCCTCACCCTTCCATTTCATCCCACCATCTCTAAAACATAGTAATTGTGAAATCATTGTCATTTCCCTTATTTTCTGATTTGTTTCCCCCAAATCCAAACCCAAAACCCTAAAATCCGATTCCTACCCCCAAATTCGTGTGAAAGATGAGCTCAAGTCCAAACATGTATGTTACCATGATTTACTATGATGGAAAGCATTATGAAGGACCCAACGATGTTCAATTTGAAGGAAAAACGAAAATGTTGAAAATCAAACGGGGCACTACGTACAATGAGCTTAAGGGGAGGATTCACCAAAAATTGGGGCTACAAGGCAGCCAGTGCGTTCAACGGATGATCGCCAGGGTAGAGTCTACAGTTGGTAAAGATGCTATATTCTACATTGATAATGATATTTGTGACGATGAAGATGTGGAATGTGTCATAGATGCAATTGTGGACCGAAAATTTCAAAACTTTATTGAGATATATGTTGAAATAGACTGTGGGCAATCTTCATCTGCACCTATGCATGAAAGAAGTCAAAGTCAAGAAGACAGAGTGGTCGGTTTATCTGCGCTTGCACCTGTTTTAAGTCAGATAACACTGAGGGAAATAGTCGAGGATGAGGATGAGCATGAGGAGGATATGGACAGTGAAGACGATGATGAACCCGAGAGTGTTATTCCTCTGGGTGACACCTCAGATACGGACGTAGAGGGGAATTTTGCTCGAACAAGTATCCGAATGGGAGGTCGACAGGAGCGGGCTCTTCGTCTTGTGGCCTTGACGAAGACGGACGGTCTTGTTGTACCTTCTTATGTCTCTCATTTCCCACGTTATCCGATCTTCTACGCCCAGCCATGGGAACAACGGTACCTACAATGCAAGTGGAAACAATATCAATGGACAATAGCAATATCAAAAAATTTTAAAATTCAATATAAAAAACTAAACCCTAACCCTAAAATAAAACATAAAACAAACCCTATACCTATACCCTACCATAAAACAGGAACGTAAACCCTAAACCCAATCAAAAACAGCAACCCAAACCCAAACAGCAACCCAAACCCTAACCCTAACCCTATCCCATCACAGGAAAAACAATCCTATACCCTAACATAAAAACAGGAACCCTAACCCTACACCCCAAACAAAACAGCAGCCCTTACCCAAACCCTAACCCTAAGCTACCACATCAACCCTAGTCAATTACCCTCATATCAAACTCAACACCCTACCCCTAACCTAAAGCCACAAAACCGCAAACAACCTTCTACCATAAACAAGAAATTTAAAAAAACAGAAACCAAAGCATGGAGAAAACAAAAAAAAAAAAACCTAAACCTAAAACCAAATGCAAGTCAGAAAACGTTACCTACAATGTCAATGTCGCAAGTTGTGAACCAATGATGCTTCAGTCGGACCTTCAAGGGATGAGATTCGGACTTGGTTGAAGAGAGGGGTTCTTGGAGCGAAATTAGTCGACTAGGGTTTGAAAATAACCCCCTTTGCGAAATGGGGGGTTTAAAAAACCTGATCCGCGATATTTAGTCGACTAAATAATGGCCTTAGTCGACTAAATGTGCTCGACATGTAGTCGATCAAGGTGAATATTTAGTCGACTAAAATTCGCGTTTCTTGATTTCTGAATTTTGCCCATTTAGTCGATTAAAAGTGCAACTTGATCGACTAAATGGGGGCAGGATGGTGGATAGTTCTGAAGGAGGGGCAAATTAGTTATTAATTAATTAATGAGAGGCAAAAGGGTCAAAAAGCCTATAAGGCTTAGCATCTTATTGAGAACTATAAACCCCAAAAGCACATCCATCTAACCTGCCAAGTGCTAACTGTGAAGAAGGAAATAGTCAGACTGTGATTTATAAATCTGTTTTGCTGTATGTTATTGCTTTCTTATTTGATATTTATTATTAGTGAGAAGGTAATCTTGCTTTATAATGTTTTTATGTTGCTTCAATGTCAGTGACATGTATTGAATGTAATGAGAATTTTTTTCTTTTATTTTTTGTATTTTCACCACGAAGTTCAAAATATTTACTTTGATGATTGCTTTCAAGTTTATCAGCCGAGAGAACAAAAGCAGAAAATTTTCCATTTCTACTCGCATTGAAAATGGACGACCTTTCGGGAAAATAATAGATGCGCTCACTGGTTTGCTTCTAGGCATTTTGAGGATGATAATAATCTTATTGTTTATCATTCTCCTCCTTCTCCTTTGTTAGAGCTCCTTCTTCAGGATGCTTCTGTAGATCTTTTAAGTTCTCGCGTCGTGTAATTTTTGTTTTGTTTGGGGCTTTTGCCCCTCTTTATTACAAAAATAAAATAAAAATGGACGACCTTAATTTCCAAAAAAATAAAATAAAATGGACGACCTTTTTTATTTTTCGCTTTCAAGATTCTTGGCTCATAACTCATTGCTGTTAGCGTTACCATTTTGAAAAACATGAGTTAGTTCTTACTTCTTAATACCGGCCTTCATTAGGTCTTTTAGTTTCCAGTAAACTCGTACTTGCGTTTCTTAATTTATTTTTTGATCTTACATACGATCTTTTTTAATTAACAACTTTAAACTTTTGCATTCATAATTTATGACCCGTAATTTAGAATTGTTTTCAAAACGTTAAAAAGATAAAATGAGGAAAACAGAAGGATAGCCCCCAACGTGTTTTACGAACACAGCACATGCACAGATGAGTGTTCTCAATTCTGAATTTAGCTAAAACAGCTGAACAAAAATGAATTGAGAAAGAACAAGTTAGGATCCGCCAAAGCCTGAACTCATCTTCATTCACAACATTATCGTGCCCACCGTTTCCATTATTACTTAACTCTACTAGGCCACTCCCCCACGAGTCATAACATAACATAGACATTATGGTCCCCCAGTTGGTCATTCACAACCAAGAAACCCTCCACCACATCCCCATCAAAAGTTTGTATCACGATTATTTACAGCCACAACATTTTTTTGTAGAAAGTTTCAAGAAATGCGTGGCCACTTCTCAGCTACTCAACTTGCCTACCGGGTGTCATGCACTGCATTAAAACTGCTCAACAGCTAAACCTTTTTACTTTTTATTCTTTTTTGTGTTTTGTTCCAGCGAATATCCATTTGTGTCGCATGGTATTGTAGGACCTGATATCAACCGTCAACGCTCAGCAGTGGGGACCACAAGGCAAATTAAATGGTCCTAAAAGTTCCAGCCAATTTACTAGTGTAGTTGGAACCTGAAGAGATAAATTTGAGAAGCAAAATAGTTACAAGAGGGCAATGATATATGATTGATTGGCCAACGCTAGCAAGCCATGTTGTCAATCATCATCAGAAGTGGGACCTAGTGGGGCTAGTCATCTCTGGTTCAGGGACAAAACTTTAATGCATCATATGTACCAACTACGTACATCTTTTTTCCATATTTGAAAAAAATTTCACCACTTTCGGAAAAAAAAAAAAATCCCGTCACATTAATTTTTTTTCCTTTTTTGCAAAAAAGTATAGGGAAAAGTTCACCTATGTTCCTGTGGTTTACTTCAGAATCACTTATGCTTCTGTGGTTTTTTTCTTATCACATATGCCTCTCTGGTTTGTAGAAGGGTATTTTTTTTATCACATATACCCCTGTGGTTTCTTATTTTTAACAAAGCACAAAGACATATATGATAAGAAAAAAATCACAGGGACATAAATGATTCTGAAGCAAAGCACACGAGCATTGGTGAACTTTTTCCATATACTAGTTGGTACATCTGATGCACTAAAATTCTGTTCTTGGTTCAGGTATGCTTGGAACCCTTGCTGCGGCCAAGAGGGATGCTGGACATGCCTTCCTTGGAGAGTTCAGCCAGTACACTATCCATTGAAGGAGGTTTGAGGCCTAAGGGCAAGGGTAGCCATGGCTTGCTAATTGCCTCCTTCACAACCTTGTCAACCACCTCCTCTGCCTGCATCCATGGAACAACCTATATGAGCATGAATTCATGGGTAGTTTGGACTTTTTAAGTATTGCTTGGTTTACCTTCACATGAACCCATTTTTGTACGTGCATAAACTCAAACGTTAGGTAAGTCATTTAAAACTCAATCAAGTTCAGGCCCGTTCACATGCTAGTTTAATTGGAACAATCATGTGATTCAGCACTCAAACAACATTGATCTAAATCATATATGCCTAACTAGACACAATTGTCATTCTACCTTTGCATTTTTGCAAGAAGGCTATTTACCATACTCGAAATCATAACTTCCGATCACAACTCTATTATTCTAAATACATGCCTAATACAAAATATTTTAATTATATTTCTCATCTATGTACCTTGCTTTGTATTGCAATTCTGTCAAAGGAGTAAAGAGCACTAAATTTTTTATTTATTTTTTCTATTCTACAGAGACATTTTCATCGAAACATGGTTCGTTTTTTGCTAAGGGTAAACCAGAATGTAGGAACTGGTGACTTGTAAGTTGGCACTATAAACAAGTATAAGGAAACTGAAAGGCAAATACTACATTACCGGATGATGCTCAAAGGAACTTCGTGGCATGCCAAATCTATAATCCACTGCTTTAGCATTGTGCAACCCAGCTATATTCTGCAGTTTGATGAAAATATCTAATTGGCATCACTCTGGTAAATAATTTAAATAACTAGCAAAGATAAGTTATGAAAATATGGTTAAATAACTATTAACATATAAATATAGCATACAAACAGAGTTCAGATATTCAATTTGCTGATACTTACTTGAGGGTAGGAGAAACAAGGAGCTTGAGGAGGTGGCAACACTGGGCAACCCCATGCATCCACATGAACCTGAAACATCAAGTTACTACCTATCAAACAGCATCCTTAATTTCTACATTGCAGCCGACAAAGCAAATTAGATTCTGAATAAAAAGATTACCCCCGGATAAGGCTGCCAGTGCCAACTTTCTGTAGGTTGCCACAAGGGATAACCAGGAGGACCCCAAATCTGTACACCGCCTGCTTGACTTCCGGGTTGTCCCCACATCGGATATACAGGAGCTGGAGAAAGGGTATGATTAGAATGATATGGAGGATAGGCCATGATTGGTCTTTGCATACAATAGCTCCTTTGCGTTGGATCTCTTTGATTTTGCCATTTTCGATCTTCTTCCCCGGGCACCGTTTGTCTCTTGTGCATTCTATACTTCTGTTCAACAAAAAAGCAGTTAAAAAATGTTACCTAAAGAGGACATATAGATATGATTTTTCTTTATGATCAAAAGGGTGTTGAAAATAGTCACTCTACTTGCAGTTTCTACAACTAGCAAGCAAAATAATGACCTGAAGATGGCTTGCCACATTGTGCCTTGTCAAGCCGTCCACTTTCATTAGCTCCAATATTCGAGAAGGAATGGCTTGATCAACACCTAGCTGTTCCACTGCCTTTACAAATTTTTTGTGCAGCTCAGGCGTCCAGTCTACCTGAGACCAAAACCAAGTAGTACCACAATTTTATTCAAATGATCAAAACCAGCAGATCACTTAAACAAACCCCCCCCCCCCCCCCCCCCCCCCCCCAACCAAAAAAAAATACAAAATAAATAAATATTATATGGTAAAAACAAGGATAAGCAAGAAATAATTAAAAACAAAAAAATATTTTACTAAAACTCGTGAGACCATATCGAAGTCTTTCAGGTGAAATAACAATTCATGAACACAATGCAGTTGAAATACTTCAAGAGTTTCATAACTATGCCATTTTTCTCAAGTCTGAATATATGGATATGTGGATCATAAGTTTCTGCTACGAGCTCCAAAATCTACCAAGGGATTTCGCCTTAATCAGACAACACATTCTATTTCAGTTGGAAAGAAGGTGATGGTAGGAGCCATGCTGTTTTATCAAGCTATTTCAGTTGGGAATTCCATTGGATGTGTCCTTCCTAAGATTTACAATCAAATATTTGACAATTCCATTATATAATTTCCTTTAATCACTTCATGAAAATGGAGATATGTCTGGTACATATGCTTTCTTTAATAACTCAAAGCATGAAACAACATGTTGGGAACATTGAGAGGTTGAACAAAGTTTCAGAAATAATTTGTAGTTATGTGTGCCATACTAGTGCCATTGACATCAACTTCGTGAGCATGTGTAAGCAAATCGTACAGGGCAAGAGGGAGGGGAAGGTTTGCATAGGTGTTAATCTCAGTTTTATGAAACTCAGGGAGAGAGGTTTACATTATATAGTCACATATATGGAAAGAAGAACTAAGGGAGAGAGGTTTACATTATATAGTCACATATATGGAAAGAAGAACTAATAGTCATAATAATGCAGCTTACTTTCATCTTCTTCCGATTAGCTTTAATCTCACGTGATTCATTAAGAACACCTCCTTTATTTGGAGATGTATTGCCATCAGCGTTGCTGAGGAACTTTCTATTATGTGGATTCAGTGATACAGCATTTTCACCCTTGGAAACATTGGCAAAATCCTCTTCCTCCTTAATCATAGTCTTCTCAGGTTTCCTTGGTTGAAGAGAACTTTCAGCGTTCAAATTCTCACATGAAGTTTCGGCAGATTTAGATTCTCCATCATGTTCCCCACTTTCTTTTTCTGTTGAACAATTAGTCTGCTCATGGCAATCCCCATCATCCAGTAACCTTGCCGCCTGTTTTAATTGTGGGGTTGAAGGAGCTGGATATTTATCACTTCCAGCAGACTGCTCATGGACATTATCACTAAACCTGGATACATTCTCTAAATCTATTGAAATTGTACTTTCATGTTGTCCTTTGTCTGTTAGGAGCTGCAACATGGATTTTACGGATTCTTTGACAGGTTTTAATGATTCAGACAGGATACTTGCCCCAGCATTGAATGCCTGCTTGGATTCAACCACATTACAAACTATTTTGCTCAAAGTATGCTAATAGTAAATGCCAACAAAATGTTGCCAATATTAAACAGACCTTGTGAACCACATGCTGCCAAATATTTTTGAGCTTGTCCTCAGATACTGGTTTAGTGAGGAACTCAACTGCACCAAGCTTTAAAAGAAAATGGATGAAAGAGTCAAGAGGTATGTATCAACAATCAGGACAATATGAAAATGTACTCTATGTCTAACTTAAACGAGTTAAAGATCACACTCCCAGTAAATACCAAACTGAAAAAAAATACAATAACTATTTTCATTAGTGCACTAATTTGAAGGAGAAACTCAAAGTTTGGTTTATAATTTGAAAGATCCAAAAGCAGTGTGTTAACAAATGATAATACATAAAAAAAGAAAATTGCATGTAACTCAGAATATTATATAATCAATGATTCAATATTAACCCACAAATAATTGAGAATGGGATGACTAACCCAAAATCTTACCGCAATGCACTTCATCATGGTGTTCAGGCACTGACTGTTTGAAGTCACTACATAAAAAATCGCAAGTATCATTGGTTAGAAAATTTACAGAAAGCATAGGACAGCCTTGAAAGTAAACTTTTTCTCAAATTTCCTATGTCATGTTCCTTTGTAGATTATTCATACATTCCAATTGTTTAAAGCTTCACAAGATCAAAAAAGTTGTTGCATGATATAAAACAACATCAAGCAACTATAACAAAACAAATAAAAGAAAATGGAGAGGAAAAAAATTACAAGTATTACAAATACTCAGGAACAAGACCTATATGTAACTCATAAGTGACAGATAAAATTGGATTTGAAAGGAACAATGATTTTCCTTCTCCTTCTGGGAAGTAAATTTGGATTGACTTTCAGACTATACAAATCAACTTGTAAACATCATTGAAATGGAGTGGATTATTTTATGGGATGAGAAAGGGGGGGTATAAAAAATTCCAAGAAGTTAAACCAGCAAAGTTAGGCGGGGTTCTACACTTACTAATGGTTGGCAAGCCCTTCGCATTCTCTAGAAATTTGAAACCTCCCTGGCTACTGCTTGTACTCACCTACAATTAGGATTGATACATTAGGTAACAAATCAGAAATCACATTATAAAAAATATAAAAAAAATATAAAAAAGATATAGAAATTGACAAAGTGAGACAGCAAATGGCATGATATTGTTCGAGAAAAATGCATAAGATGATAAAAGTCTTCACATATTACTAGAATTTCACAAATTATAAAATAAATGGCTCCTCTGATGCAAGTATGCTTTACTGGCTAAAGTTAGGCAGTACCTAATTATCATAATCAAGTCAACTATCAACTTCTCTAGTCATTTTAAACTAGCATACTAGACGACATCCTTTTTTGTTTATTTTCTGTTCAAATTTTACAATTACTACTTTATGATTTGTCATTTATACAGAAAATGAAAGTTCATTACCTCCACTAAGGCAACATGAAAGCCTTCAGGATTACTCGAGATTGCAGACAAGGCTTCATTCTCATCGCAGAAGGTAGAAACTGTACAGAAAGGTTTACTTAACAAATTAAAGGAGTAAACAAGGATGTAAAAGTGGTAGTAGACAAAAAGAACACTATGGATTTCAATAACACTATAACAGTCAAAATATACTTAGGTTGGTTCTTAATATATAATTTCAATTAAACTTAGATTCATGGAAATTTTTGTTTTCCATAATAAATGCCCATTTTCCATAGCCAGCTACTTCATATTCGCTTATCAATTAAAAGGCCACCACAATCCAAATGTACAAAAATAGAATAGATTCAGTAGTTCATAAAGTCAGATAACTGACAATTCTTTTATCCTCAATAATACCTTCAAAATTTGGACCACTTTCAGTTTCCAAAACACACGGCATATAATTTAACAGTGAATGAAAATTTTAGCAGCTTTATAAGCCATCAAAAGAAATACCACATTTACTAACATCAAACATCGAAAAAGGGGGAAAAAAAGGAAGGGGGGAGAGGGTGGAAGGGGATTAAATTGTTCTAACCTTCTACACAACTAAAATCTCAGGCCACAGTTTCCCAAAGAAAATCATATAAGGACTACCTAAAGCAATGCAACTTTACAAGATGCCATTCTAAGGATAAACGGGGACCAACTTTATCCACTAATTAAGGAAAGTGCGAATTGCTAGGCCAAAACTTCAAGTGGGTGAGGAAGTGAGACATGCCAAAAATTAAAGAGGGTATCCAAAAAGTCTTACCAATATAGTCCATGGCCTCGAGCTTTGCTCTTATCTCTGCAGCAGAAATGATGTCTCCTTCAAGAAGAAGAACCCTAAGTCCTTTTGGAAAATCTTTCCATCCCTGTAATTCATTGGCAGTGCAAACCATAGCTGGTTTGGCATCGTCTCTCAGTCCCCTACAGTAGTAACAGATCAATATTGCTTATCAACATCCAATCCGTTCTGCAAGATCCATGACATCACAAGCTTGTTTCAGGGAGCTAGACTTTAATCCAAATTACAGAACATAAAAAAGAAAAAGAAAGAAAAACAGAAACTTAATTAAATCTTAAAACTGTTCACATGGTAAAAAAAAAATCAAATCGGTAGCAGATAATGTAGAATGCTAGCGTGCCCTCAGAACACTGAAGATCAACCCAAAACGAGGTTCAGTTTAAGAATAATAAGTTCTGATCATGCATGAAAACAGCTCGTAAATCACAAAACAGATTCCTTCATATCATAAACAGTAAAGATCTCATTTGCAGATGAAACTTAGACAAAGACACAAGCAAGATCTAGCGAAGAGAACTCTAAATTATTATAGGAAAACTTGACAACAAACATAGTCAGTTAGAAACCCAAGCAATTCAGAACCGTGAACCTGGCATGCCATGCACATATTATAATCCAAAAAAGACAAAAAGAGAGAAAAAAAAATGAACACTTGAACCGAGATAGAATCAGCATGCACATGACAAAGTAAAACTCTGAAAAATTGTTCTCTTAACAAACCTTTTTCCACTACCTTGGCTGAAAAGAAAATGCCCCACCAATTTCTCTGGCTAAAGTTTAGTTCTTTCTCCTCTTATTTTCATTTATAACAAACAAAACATGGTGTGGGGGATGAAAAGGGAGGCGAGGGGAGAAAGTGGGGGAGTCGTTGAAGGGCGTGAGTGATTATTACTGAACAGTTACAAATTACAATCAGTTCTTAAGAACCACAGAATATGCAGAGAAGAAGTGTCTAGGTCAAATAAACCTTTATGCCACTTATTTCAAGGTTCATATTCCACATCTATCCTTCAAGTTTTACCATTTTTTTTTTCCTCCTATGCCATAAATTAAGAGAGAGAGAGAGAGAGAGAGAGTGCTTCCTCACTCTTGGCAATTTGAAATTAAGATTGGTGATGTCCCAACTTAGAGTAATCTTTCATGATGACGTGCATTTTACATAAACCAAAAATGGGAAACTTTACAAAAGATACGCATAAATATGAATTCTAAAATAACGAAAATTTATTGATTTCTTGCTTGAAAGCTTAAAAATCCACTAATTACCAAGATTAGCCAGCATGTAATTTACTCAGCATGGCTTGTTTAGCCTATGTAATATGCCACTTAGAAGGTGTGTTTACCAACAACTCCCAAAAAGGTACATAAAAAGTATATTTTTGCCTCTGCAAAGTGGCATCATCATATCGTCTCAAAAGACAATAATTACTAATTTCTTTTTACTAAATCAATGTGACAATAATTGCAAAGAAAAAAAAATTGATATGACTTTTGACCCGCTTTAATAGTGTTTTGCTTTCCTATTTCGTCCCTCATGAATCATGAATCATGAATCATGATGTAAAATCCAGAGTGAGGCATTGCCAAAGGAGTTTACCTTTCACCACAAAATACCAGCAGACTTCTCTTCAAGTCTAATTAAGCTAATCACGAAAATTGACTCTGAGGTACACAATTTTCGTAATGTACAATAAGTCTTGAAGTTGATGGATGCCAGAACTAGATAAAGATGACACAATACAAGTTTGGATAAATGAGCACTACAGTACAAACATAATACAAGAATATTGTATGTCAATTTATTAAAATTAAATAAAAAAATATGATTCAAATATAAAAAATTCATTGAACTATTAAACAGAGGGATTTATGAATATTATGTCACATGATGAAGCTTGCATCATGCTATACTCACAATGCAAATGGATCCACCATTTTCTTATTTTTTGCTTTCTGATAAAAACTTGTGGGGCCCACTTGTATTGTTAGTGTAGCATGATGTAAGCTTCATCACGTAACATAATATTCATAAATCCCTTAACCGAAAATTGTAGTTTACATAAACTTATTTATCATTCGTCATGGGTCTATATATATATATATATATATATATATATATATATATATATATATATAAAAGATCCTTTGATATCAGTGTCAAATTTGAAATTTGACACCTCATCTGAGAGTCGTTAAATAAAAAAAGATCAATGGTGTCACATGCTTACAAATCAGAATAGTTGATCTTTTTTTATCTAACGGCTATGAGATGAGGTATCAAAGGATCTTACTATATATATATATATATATATACAAATTTTTTATTTATAAATTACACTATGTATTTTTGAGAATGCATTTCTAATCGAATCTATTTTTGGGAATTTTGTAAATAAAAAAAATTAAATATATCATTTCCCATATACATAAATTTAATATCTCTTATGATGTATTTCCTACCTCTACATAAAATTTGTGAGATTAGTATTTCCTTTTTCTTTTTCTTTTTATATGGGGATTTTTACACATATATAAAAATATGTGGAATTTATATTTTTTTCCTCTCTTTTCTTTATATATAAATATAGAGAGAGAGGTAGCAATATGGATCGGGTCCGACGAGTCAATCCATCAAAACAGAGCGGGTTGGGTTGAAATTTTCAACCCACCAACCCAATTCGACCCACCCCGCCTAAAAGTGGGTTAAAACGGATTCAACCCGCACGGGGCGGGTTAACCCGTTGGGTTATATTTTTTTTTTAACAATTAAGTAGTACTTCATTTGTCATTAAATTTGTTTGATATCCAAATTTTTTTTATCTATGGCAAATGTTATCTATATATGGAGACAAATGAGTTACTAAAGAATATTTAACTGAATATTAGTGTACTTTTAAGATTGAGACTAAAAAAAATTAAGAGAAGTGTGAAATAAAATAAAATAATATTAAAAAAATTCATAAAATATAATTTATTTATGAATTTTAATTATTATTTTTTAATTAGCGGGTTGGTGAATTGATCCGCAACCTATCATAAAACGGGGTGAATTCATTTTTTCAGCCCATATTCAATGACGGGCCAACTCGTTCGGCCTCTTTTTTTATTTGTTGATGACGGGTCGGGACGGACCCACTTATATTGTCAACCCTGTATATATATATCTTATGTGACACTTGAAAGTCATGACTATTTTAAAGTATAAATAAGGGCGTTTTCGTAATTAAAAAGTTGCGATGCAAAGCTTGAAGAGTTGCTTAAGCATGTCTAGCTAGTTAGTTCGTTAATTATAATGTAAGTTAATTGTAGTAATCACATGCACCAGGTTCCACTTCACTTAACAACCACCCACAATAAGTTTGTAGTGTCACCAACAACAACAAAATGACGCGCAAGGAATCTACAATTTTTTATTGTTCGATGACTTAATGGCCAAGCCTAAAGTAAAAACTTTAGTTTGGTTCAACTATTCAGGTTGATTTGTGTTAAAAAGGGGTAGAATTTGTTTACCAAAAAAAAAAGGGTAGAATTTGGGCATCTATCTTTTCGTATGGTATGAGGTATTTACTTATTTTTTGGTAAATATGGTATGAGGTATTTAAAATGATCTTAATCGTTTATACATAAATTAATAATTTTTTATCTTAATTTATTCTTCATAATCATCGATTTATGTATGAATATTCGAAATCTATCTCGTATTATCTCATCTCATTTGAAAGTCATTATCCCATAATTCCATTATTATTGTGTTAAAAAGTACAATTCTATCAGTATTGGGTATGTTTTTCAATCACGTAAACTCAAATTCACTGAATTTTTTTTTCTTTTTTCTTTAATTCAATACTATTTTTTTAATATTGTCACACACACACACTGTTTGAATATTTTGTTGTCTAAACCCGATCTATGTGTAGCTTTATTGCGCATCAAAGTGAAAAGTTTGAAAAAAATTTAAAATAAAAACAAATTAGTTTAAAACTATTACAAAATTAATTAAATATTAAAGTTAGTACATAAATAAGAATATATTTAGATAAAGTTTTGAAGACTTAAGTTTATAATATAAATTTTATTTTTATTTTCCGAAAACTACCCTCTATAATTTAAAAAAAAAAGTAAAACTGATTATTTCCGTTTTTATTTTCAAAACAATTTGACTAATTATTGTAAAAAAATTAACATTTTTCTAATTAAGAAATACTTTTTCCTGAGAAAGAAGTTTTAAGAAACAGGCCTCATAGCGAAAGATTGTGATTATCTAAATTTTGAAAATTACGTACTTATTAATTATTATTGAACAAAGGAATAGTTAATTTTATTTAAAAAAAATTGTTGAAGGAATAGAAGGGAGAAAAATAATCTGAAAAAAATAGTAATGAAATCATTTTTTAAATAATTTAATTTATCTCAAAATTGGTCTGAAAAAAATTAATTTTAAAACATTTAAGTAGTTATTAAATATTTATTCAAACTACATTCAGATTTTTATTTTTTCGAAGTTCCTAAATACTTCCTAAGATCTTGCTATGGAGTATTGTAGAACATAGAATATATTTATAATTATTTTACAAAAAAATTTAAAATACTTTGACATTTGTAATATATTAAATATCTTTTTTTTTTAATATTTTGAAGTCTAATAGCAAATGCCATAGGCTTGAAATTATCCAAAACAATCCGTGAGCAATCTGAACTCTGAAGTGAAATGTCATGTTCAAAGATGATAAGGTTCGAGTTTTCACGTGACAATTGTGAATCCTGTGACCCAGAGTATTCTCATAACTTTTTTTTTTTTTTTGGTAGTCATTCTCATAACTTAATTTGCCCTATAAAAGTAGAGCTTTTTTTCCTTCGCAAAAGTAGGATTTCTTATTGATTTTAAATTTAGACCGAGTCAAAATTTTACAGTGTATTTTAAACAAAGTTAGCTAATACAAATTATTTGATAATATAACAGTGATTTTAACTTACGTTAATATAAACCGATTCTTTATATATATTATATATATCATCAATCACTTTAAAAAGTGTACTCTAATTTATTTAATATATAAAATAAATATCTTTACATTATTATTACATTAACATTTTATTTTGTGTGTGTGGATAAATGAATTCACGTGTTTGTTTCTTTTTAATCTTTCAATCTCCTTACGTGATGTTGATATAATGTTGTTCTGCTTATTAATTACAAAAGTATTTTTATTATCAGACCAGTTTTGTTTTGCCGTATAAAAGTTGCATTTCATCAATCCTTTTGCTTCAATTCTTGCACAAGACCCATTTCAAGGTTCCAAATTTCTATATGAAGAGAGTAACATGTATATAAGAAAAAAGTATGATAGAATTCTTTTCCAATGTAAAACACCAAGATAACAATTCAATGAAAATTAATAATTATATTAAAATCAAATTATTGTTTCTATATTAAAGAAAAACACCTGTGAATTAGATCATGAAACAAATAGTATAAATTCCACTAAATGAATACATTAAAGCTAGAAATTGATGGTAAGTTTCTTGACCTACATAATGACTAGAATGGTTCCTTGATACCAATGTTAAGCTAAGTCTTGATGGTATCCAATTCAGAAACAGACACACCAGTTTAGGCATGTCAAAAAAAAAAGTTGTCGGTATTATAATGACGTACAAAAAATTCAGAAAAAATAAATGCTGACCTGTGGAGCAGCACCAAACCATCGCCCACAGTTTTGTAACGGTAGATAAAAACAATGTGCGTTTCTTTTTATCTTAGAGGTAGTGGAAGTCCCACACATAGATCTCTGTCTGCTGCATGCACCACTATTTTCAAAGGCTCAATGATTTTTGCATGTGTTGAGAGACTTGAGAGCATTCTAGGAGATAAACAACCAAAAATTCAAAATAGCGCCTAATTAAGGAACTTGTCCTT